TATACACACACGCACACAAAGGAATATTACTCATCCATAAAAAAGAATGATATTGTGCCATCTGCAACAACATGGATGAACCTGAAGGGTATTATTCTGAGTGAAATAAGTCAGACAGAGAAAGATAAAAACCATGTGATTTTACTTATATGCAGAATGTAAAAAACAAAAGATGAACAAACAAAAAATAAATAATCTCATAGATACAGAAAACATTTTGATGGTTGCTAGATTGGAAGGGAGGTTGGGATTGGCTGAAAAATGGGAAGGAATTAAGAAGCACAAATTGGTAGTTACAAAATGATAATAGGGATGTAAAGTATAGCATAGAAAATAGAGTTGATAATACAGTAATAACCACATATGATGTCAGATGGATATTGGACTTATTGGGGTGATCACTTTCTAAATTATATAAATGTCCAATTACTATGGTGTATACCTGAAACTAATATAATGTATGTCAACTGTAATTGAAAAATAAAAATGCTATTTAAAAAGAATCATATAGTAAACCACTGACTTGTTAAAGAATGTATTACCCAGTTATTAGTCATTCACTTTCTTAGCATTGACATCAGCGCTGTCACTAACCTACTGGTAAGATTCAGTTATGCTTCCCTGTACACAGGGAGAAAAAGTTTGAAAAAGGAAAATGGTTAAGGAGAAGAAATACTTTCTCAAGCAGACCAATTTTAAGAGCTTCTAAGGGAGTTGAAGATCAGGAAACAATTCCCTTGGAACGATCCATACTTAAATATTGGAAGGTCTTTTTGTACAACTCAATGCACATAAACCCAGGTTTGGAAAACTGACTTAATGTGTCAGATACTTTTCTTGGAGAGGATATATGGGAGGTGAGTGTGAGGACAGGATAGGAAGGAAGCACTGAATACCTTGGGGCTGGGTAATAATGAGGATTGGAGAAAACTAAAATGGTGGCTGGAAATGCCCAAGAGCCAAGGCAAGGAAATTCAGATACTGAAATACACTGAGCATCTGTAAAGGGACCAGTCTTATTCCTCTATTCTCGGTATACAGAGCATCGTCTAGAACATAACGGCACTCAAAACAAACAAACAAACAAACAAACAAAAACAGTGAAATGAGATTCAGTCTTGATTTGTATAGTTTTGAATAATTTACTTCATTCATAAGACATTTTGTAAATTACA